TACCACTACAGATCAGGAATCCTTTTCCATTTACCCCGTCATTCCCCTCACCTTGCAAACAAGCACCAGAGACGTTGTCTATTCCAGAGATTGCAAGGAAAGGCTATTCCTGCATTAGAACCCCTTGCAATAGAAGCTGCCAACATAGAGATCATTGCTAATAAATTATCCCACGCCACTGCTGACATGTCTAAAACGGGAGATCCCATTGCACAATCCCTCACTTCTGCATCAGATGTGCCGCACTCCATTATTTACATTTTAATCACTTGGGAACAGTTTATAGAGAAAGATTTTTCTATCCTATGAATCCCATCCTTGCAGCACAACATCTCAGTGGCACTGGTATGCATGTAAGCCCAAACTCTCAATCTGGCCACAACCACAGTACTCATCCGTCAATCACTGGTAGGCATATTCCCATGGAAATCAAACAGCTCATGAAATCCAAACTAATGAAAAGTGGCTTGGAATTGGAAGATTAGTGGAAAATTGTCAATGCTGCAGATGGTCCCCACCATCACCAGCTGTGCCTCTTCATTGTTACCACTATAGATCAGGAATCCTTTCCCATTTACCCCGTCATTCCCCTCACCTTGCAAACAAACACCAGAGACGTTGTCTATTCCAGAGATTGCAAGGAAAGGCTATTCCTGCATTAGAACCCCTTGCAGCAAAGTCCTCCTCAATTCAAACTGAATACAGCCCATGGTCCCCATGATCAACAGGTGTCTTCATAATCTGACTACCGTCAGTGGCTGTGACTTCCACTTCACAGTCCCAGTTTGGACCCAACAAGAAATAAATCTATCCCCTGTCCTCTACTGGTCAGTATCCCCTGTATTTTTAGGGACAGGTCTGGAAATTATCCATGACCTCCTCACACATCCTGCCCTCCAAAGGGAACTCCAAAAAGTGAAGGTAGCTGGAGATCAAGCTCTTCTTTCAGTCTCCCACAATGGTGCCTAGATTGCCAGCATCTCTGCAGACACTGCTTCCTCTGGCCACCCCTCATGGTGGGAATCTCTATTTGGTGGTCAGAATCTGCTACCAGAAATTCTTAATATCATGCTACACTCCATTGTTGTAATTATTGCTTTCCAGGTTCTTCCGGTTTTATTCCTGCTCATTCTCACCTGCTGGGTGAAATGCCACATCAGCAGGTTAGAGACTATGCTGCCCCAGTCAGCGTTGAACCCCTTGTCCATCAGCTGCAGGAACTGTTTGTCCTATATAGATGGGGCGGGTTCATTGTCATCCTTTGTTGTCTGGAACACTGTAGCTCCCAAGACAGAGTCCTTTTCAATCAGTGCAAAGTGTTCTGGACATGGCTTCCGGTGAGAGGGTCATCCATTGTCTAGGATGCTTGTGGCAAAGACGCTCATCTGAATTGGCACCTGCAGGCGATCTATACACATGTTCCCCACAACGACCCATCCCAGCTCTAGTTTCTGGGCATGCGGTGTGCCAGGAGGTCCTCTGAGCAGATCGTGACCGGCTAGTAGGTCGGGAATGTCTGTTCCCAACAGGAGTAGGATTTCTGCGTCGGGGTCCAGGGCAGGACACTGAGTGAACTGGCAAGGTACAGCAAGCCTGGGTCAGCCCACCAGTTTTGTTTTCCTTTCTCTGTTTTTTTTACTTTTATTTTTGGCCTGACCCTCTCCCTGTATGAAGAAATCTAGCCTTTTCTCTGGGTCCTCCATTCCCCCCCCCAATCACTCTAACAGTCACCATGACAGTGTCAGCAATCAGCTTTTTGAATAGCCTTAAGAATAAAATATCAGAATCCACTTTTTTTCCCTTTTAGAAAAGGCCTTCTTTTTCATCGTTGCCATATTTTGTCCACATTTTGAGGAATGTTGCCTGATCTGCATAGCCAGAAGGCTTTGCAGAAGAGTGAGCCCTGAATTGCACAGACTTAGTGGTGCCTCCATACCTTTGGCCTTCTTCGCTACTGGCCTTTTTACCTTGGAAGGAACTGACAGCTTGTCTGTCTCCACTTTTCTTCGAGGGCTCCTTTATCATGCCCCACAGCAGGCTGAAGCCAGGAGCTACACAGGGCCCACTGGAGTTGTTGCTGATGGGGAAAGCTGTGGTGGCCCCGAGGATGGCAGTAGTGATGCGGGGTCGGGGGAGAGAGAGAACTTATGGCAAGCCCAGCAGCAGAGGCCAGGAGCTGCACCGGACCTGTAGGCAATGCTGGTAATTAAGATGTTGGGATTCCCCCCTGAGTTATCATGGGTATCCACTTGTCTGATTATATTTTGTCCTCTTTTTTACATTTAGTATCTATTACATGAATACTCTTGTAAAGCAAGAAGGCTTCAGGACTGGGCTATTCCTTTCTTCCTGTTGTATTTAAGTCAATTATCACCCCTTCATTTATCATGTTTCTTGTTTGGAAACGTGGCGCGTTGCTCTCTGATGTTGCCTGGATGCAGATGAGCTGAACAAAGGGAGACAGGTGTTGTTTGAAACACACGGGACCATCTGGTACCTGCTTGTGCAATTAGCACATAGATGTGTTTAAGTAAAAGTTTAATCTAGGAAGATCTTGCTGGGTTTTCTCTCCTCACCTCTTCTCAACTGCAAAAAACCAAAACAAACCAACAAAAAAATGTTTGCTCCAAGACCCAAAATTAGACAACTGAAAAGGAAAGAGATCCCCTGTTTACATCCCTTTTGTGGCTTTCTTGGGACCTGCGGATGCACATCTGTCTCTCATAAATGGCCCAAGCTGTCAATGTCAGTGCTGCCAATCAACTTTATTGTATTCAGTCCCCCAGATGATCAGCACTGTGAAAGCTGACAGCACTGATCATATGTTAATGTGGACAGGTACACCCAAAGACCACCACACCTGCAGCTTTGGGGCTAGATGTGGTGGTTTGCTAACTGCATGTAGCAGCATTGTATATGTGTGTCTGAGTCTTGCTATTTCAGAGTGCCAATTTTGTTATATATTGCTATGGTTCTTAAATCCTAAACTCTGATGTGATCTGCTCCCCAATAACATGCATGCCGCAAAGATTAGATTTCAGCATCTGGACCTTGGATAGTAGTCATGATTCTAAAAATAATTCTAAGAATAGTGAACAAGCTGTTACTTCTGTTAAATGCATTTGTACAAAGCATGCATGATAAAAACTCTGATGTGATCTGCTCCCCAATAACATGCATGCCGCAAAGATTAGATTTCAGCATCTGGACCTTGGATAGTAGTCATGATTCTAAAAATAATTCTAAGAATAGTGAACAAGCTGTTACTTCTGTTAAATGCATTTGTACAAAGCATGCATGATAAAAAATCAGGCCACTGCATTTTCCCTGGGTCTCAAATGACAATATTTTTGTATCAGGAAAATTCCATTCTTTCCCCAGATAACATATTAGTTGCTGTCTGCTGATAATAGATCTAATAGGTTTACATGTGTCAGATTTTCCGCTATTTGCAGTTTATGGTCCATTTATCTTAATGGCTTGGGAAACAGCCAGCTTTTTTGATGGTATTAATAACTCTGTATATTGAAAGATAGAAAGATAACCCAAATTCTAAAATAGGAGATTGGTTTGTGGGGGAGATCATGAGATAAAAGTCATCCACATCTTTTCAGGTAAGTAACAACTAGATTGATTCTTTTAAAAATGACTGTAAAATTATCAACTTAAGCCGATCAGAAATCATTTTAAAATGGTGGGAATAATTTAATTGAGCCTGGACATCCCATAAGAAAATACACCTGAGGGACAAAGGTACTCTGTTTTTCATATGGAATCCATTGCCATTGAGAAGCACAAGTATCTAGAGATGATGCCTTCTCTCCAGATTTTAAGTAAAACCTTGTACCTGGAGAATGTGCGTCAGTCACCTGAAGACTTTTAAGGGTGTGTACTTAAATCGCTACAAATTTATTCCTGTTTAATTGTTTTAAACATAATTCCCATTATGGCTGAAATGAGAACT